TCTCATCCACTACTTCGGCCTTGCTTCGTTCGATGAAAAATTTATATTATCGTACATTTGCTACATATCAGCAAACTTTTACACTTTTGACAGTAAGTAAATTTGCTTTAAATCTGAATGTGGTTTCTCCTTATGTCTTCTGAGTCATTCCTGTTTCAATGAAAGATATTTGATCTACCACTCAGCAGGGTAATTGAAGTCTAATTCATAGTCAATCTCTGCGAAAAATGTAATAAGTGCAAACTCCAAACGAGAAGCTTGGTTACTCATAAAAAGGAACTAGATTTCTACCGTAGTTAGAGGAAAAAATTAACTTCATTCGTTGTCCATTGAATAATTAGGGAAAAACAAGGTTTTAACCGTTGGAATGCTTGGCCATCCATAAAGTTTCATGATGAGGACAACTCCAGCTCGTTTTTTTCATGAAGTTAATGCTGTGGGGATGATCTTCATTTCATTTCTGTTCGATTAGCCATGAACTCCTTTCTTGTGAAGGCAGAGTGGACAGCAGCTATGTCGCAAGCACAGGTTGTCATTTGCTTCCTTCCATTTATCAACCTCTGAAAGAAGAAGGGCGAGTGACCAAATTCTTAATTTGGAATCTTTCGACTCTGGATTTTTCGTTTAACTGATTTAATAATCCCTATAATCATAAGGACCATATAAGCTTCTGCGTAATTTTTGAGTTAATCAAAAGTCTTAGTTTTATTTGTCTATCTTTCTGAATTGAGGGTTGCATCGGTGGGTTATTGGATATGCATGTTATACAAGATGTTTTAACAATGCTTCTTCCGTTTTTCAAAGACATTTCCAGGAAGACAAGAGTGTATAGTATCCATTAATTTGGAAGCGATCAGGAAAATATTTCGAGAAACTGGACATCTACCTCAAAACATAAGAAAACTGTTATTCTGACCTGGACACCAGATATATTAGTTAATATTACATTCTTCTGATTCGAACAGATATATTTTTCACAGTACCACCACGCTCCAAAGGTTTTCAAATGCACAGGAATGGAATCTATATCCGAAGGTGAAGCTTAGCTGCAAGAAAACACACGTAAGTTTTTCCGATGTAGTTGCGACAGAGCATTCGTCATTTTTGGTCTTGAGATCTGACATATGTTATTTTGCAGCTCTGGATCGTCTTGACAAAACGTATTGTTGACAAAAATTATAAAATATAATACCTCTTAAATGAACCAATTAAACGTTTAATCTGCAATACGCTAA